AATTCTTGGACTGGAATAAGGGTTGATCAATAAACTAGAATAATTTTATATACTTGCATAGAATGTGAAATAAATTATGTTGGTGAACCTTTGTGTTGCAAAAACATTTGTCCCCTAAAATATACAAACATGTAATACACACGCCTAATGCTTGGTGATTCTTCCTGTTTTTGTATGAAATATTCTGGAGAAAAAAATATGTTAAATTGATACATATATGTAGAGATATATATTGATTTTGCATGTTTGTGATGGCTGGCTAGTCTATACAACAATGAACAGAGACAAAGGAAAAGCTGTGTGGAATTCAACTTTAACAGAAATTTTCATTAAAGAATGCTTGGAACAAGTGTACAAGAAACAAAGGAAAGGAACTGCTTTCAACAAAAATGGGTGGCAGGCAATAATTGAGGGATTTGAGGCGAAGACAGGAAAAAAGTATGAGCGAAAGCAATTGAAAAATAAGCTAGATAACATGAGGAAAGAATGGAACGTATGGCATAAGTTGTTTTCAAGTGAAACCGGCTTAGGATGGGACAGTGACAAGAATACTGTTGATGCTCCAGATGAGTGGTGGGAGCGAAAAATCTTGGTATGCTTTAGTTGTTAAGTGTTTTTAAAATTAGAATTTAATTTAAAAATTTTAATTGTTGGTTATTTGAATGGTTGCAGGAAAATCCTCTTTATGAAAAATTTAGATATAAAGGTCTAAGATTTGCAAGGGAATTAACATTGATATTCAAGGATGTCCTAGCAACTGGGGAGACACTTTTTGTACCATCTGCTACCCAGACCCAAATAGAGGATGATGATGATGAGGATGTGTACCGCCCTACTATTGACCTTCGAGAAGGCTCCGGTGATAGTGAAGAGGAACTAAATTTATCTGACACTATAGCACCTACGGGGGTCACCGATGAGTTGTTGGGCTTGAATGTCACTATAAATACCGGTGGAACTAGTGGTGATGGAAGTCAAGACAAGAGAAAGAGGGTGGTAGGCGTTGGTGGGAGGAAAAAGCAAAAAGTCCCTGCCTCAATGAAAATAGCAGATGCGATGAGTGAAATGGCCAAGGATAATAGAGCTAGAACAGAGACAGTGAACAAGATTTTGGCAAATGACATAGGAGTTTCTGAGGTTGTGGCTCACTTAAATGGACTTCCAGAAGTTTTTGGTGATAAAGATTTGCATTGGAGATGTGTCAATCTTGTTCTATACAAGCCTATGCGAGATGCTTACTGGCAACTTAAAGACCATCCTGATCACTTGGTCAATTGGTTGAAGCACCAAGTCTACCATCTACCGGATTTTATTTCAAAGAATACATCAGGATGAATTTTTATTTAGGCTTATGATGACTTGACTGGTGTTTATTTTGACTTAAAGACTACTTGTAGTTGCTTTTGGCTGACTTGTACCTCGCTATGCTTATGATGACTTGACTGGTGTTTATTTTGACTTAAAGACTACTTGTAGTTTCTTTTGGCTGACTTGTACCTCACTATGCTTATGATGACTTGACTGGTGTTTATTTTGACTTAAAGACTACTTGTAGTTTCTTTTGGCTGGTTTGTAATGAATATTTAACTCTTATCTAATGCTTATCTTATGCTTTATTTTTTATGTTATTAAATGATATTTATATACTATGTATTTTATATTATATACAAATGATATTCATATACTATTTTACCTCAGGTTGAAAATCATGGAAGATTCAAATGAATATATGTTAGGTTGGAATGAAGGTTGGGATATAGATGTAGCTCATCAACTACTTCCCTTGTTACAACAAGATATATCTGAGCAAGAAGAAATATGTCAATTAGTTGGTGAATATGTGATGCCATATGTGTGTAAAGAGCCACGAAGAACTAGCAGGCAAACAGGGCAAATGTGGGTCAATGAGATTTTGCAAGGTCATCCTGATCGTTGTTATGAAATGTTTCGAATGGAAAAACATTTGTTTAGGCAACTGTGTGCGACACTAGTTGAGCTTGGTCTAAAGAAATCTAAAAAAATGGGAGTTGAAGAAATGGTTGGAATGTTTTTGAATACAATTGGACATGGAGTTGGTAATAGGATGATACAGGAACGATTTCAACATTCAAGGGAAACTGTCCATAGAAATTTTCATAAAGTATTAGCTGCATGCCTTAACCTTTCCAAGGCAAACATAAAACCACTTGATCCTTCATTTCAACGATGTCATTCAAAAATTCAAAATGATCCACGGTATTGGCCATTCTTTAAGGATGCTATAGGAGCAATTGATGGCACTCATGTGCCATGTGTGGTTAGTGTTGCTGATCAAATTAAATTTATTGAAAGAAAGGGATATGCAACACAGAATGTCATGGCTGTATGTGATTGGGACATGTGTTTTACTTTTGTCATTGCGGGATGGGAAGGTACAGCTCATGATGCCCGAGTATTTGATAATGCCATATCAACTCCTTTAATGCATTTTCCGCATCCACCTCCAGGTATATTTTATTAAAGTAACTATAATAATTATTGCATTAATTTAATATTGGTCAAATTTACAACACTTCCTTTTATTTAATAGGTAAATATTATTTGGTTGATTCTGGTTATCCAACACTAAATGGGTATCTTGGTCCATATCGTTGCGAACGTTATCACCTTCCAGACTTCAGGCGAGTTGCAGGATTTGCAAACAATAATGAGGTCTTCAATTATTATCATTCAAGTTTGAGATGCACTATAGAAAGAACTTTTGGAGTATGGAAGAATAGGTTTGCAATTATACAAAAAATGCCCAAATTTAAATATAAAACACAAGTTCAAATTGTTTGTGCAACAATGGCAATACATAACTTTATTAGGAGAAATTCAATTACTGATGAGCAATTCATTCAAGCTGAAGATGAAAGTGTAGATGTCCTTGAGGAAGATATCGATATTGGTGAGGCATCCTCGTCAAATCTACCCGGATCATCAAGACAGATGCAACATGTTCGTGATATAATTAGAGACCAGCTTGTAAATCATATCAATTGAACATTAGTTTATTTTAGGTTTTTGTAATTGAATATTTAAGATATTTTACTTATTAGTTGTGATTTTAAATTTAATATTTTTACTTATTAGTTAGTCTAAAAATATAATCATGCTTATTTAAGATTTAATATTTAAGAAAAAAATTCATACTTATTTTTGTCATTAAACATTTTAACTGGCTTTTGAATCAAATTATCCAAACGAATTTCAGTTTATCTAACTAACTTTTAAAAATAAGGTATCCAAACATAAATCACGTTACATTAACTGACTTTTTTTTTAACCTTAGTTTGCTAACCTCAGTTGAATCTTAACTTCAGTTATAAAATTTTTAATCCAAACACACCCGTCACCAATTGAATGTCTCGTCATCTAAACACCACGTAGCCATATGTGCATATATATAAGCTCAGTTAATTATTTTCTTTAATTTAATGAAAATTATATAATTTTTTTATTACAAAATATAAAATATTTTTTGAAGAGTTAAATGTTTAATCTTTTAAAATATAATTATTATCTTTTTTAAAAGTATCCCTATTAATAATAATTTTATATTTATTATATGGTATTTAATAGAAGTAAATATGAAAAGATAGAATTAATTAAAAGGTAAATAATTATTTTATTAAAAAATAAAATTTAATTAAAAATATTTTATATTTTTAAACAAACGGATACATGCTTTCCAATTAATAATAATGACTAATTGACTTGAGTAGTCTCATGTTCTAAAATCATATACATGGTTTCCAGTTGGTCGGCATGCATGGGCCCACCTAATTATATTAAATTATGGTTTCTAATTGTCAAGTTCAGCAAGTACATGTGATACTTTGAATAAAATTTCCTCTAATAAAAAAAATTTATAAATAAAAAAAGTATACCTGTAATATGTAATTTATTTATTCATTTCTCAGATAATGTCTGAAATAAGAAAATATTCCCATCACTATAGTTTCGGTGACAGGAACATTATCATTCCGGAATATATATATCAATATGATATATTATTTTTTGCCAATATGAATGTATATCAACGCCAAAACATATTCATTCACTTATTTTCCTTTTTAGTTGAAAAAAATACTTTTTTCCCTGGCCAGATGCTATAGGTCATCACTTTCTCAGTCTTCATCTCCATACAACGTTATATAAAAATTAAAATAATTAATCACGAATAGCATGGATGACAAATCATCGAGACCTTGACATCCGCATAATTCTTTGATATTATCTTGTTGGCCCATAAAAGGCCTAAGACCAGCAATTGCAAAGTGAAACCAACTCCATTCCAATATGAAAGCCATCCAATTGATCTCCATAACTACAGTTCAAGCTCGAGGCCATGTTAACAATGGCAACTCACCACAGCTAATTGACCTGAATCCATGGGATCTTCAGTATCTACTACTTGAGCATGGTCAAAAGGGACTTCTTTATTACAAACCCACTTCATCATCATCGTTTGAACACACAGAGACAGTGATCCAGCACTTGAAGGACTCGCTTTCTTCCGCTCTCGACTTCTACCTGCCCCTCGCCGGCCGTCTTGCAGTCATCGCCAACGAGGAGGACGACACCTCCTCTGTCTTCATCACTTGCAACAATGCTGGAGTAAGCTTTGTTCACGCCATTGCCGAGAATACTACAATTGCAGACATTGTGGAACCCACTTATGTTCCTCCAGTTCTCTACTCTTTTTTCCCAACCGGAAATTTTAAGAACTTTGAAGGAACTAGGGAACCATTAATGGCGGTTCAAGTCACAGAGCTAGTGGACGGCATCTTCATCGCTTTGTCAACAAACCATTGTCTTGCTGATGTGAAGCCGGTCTGGGATTTTTGGAATGCATGGGCAGAGATCTCCCGAAATGGTTTAAACCACATAGCTTCAGATTCACAGCTCGCTACATTTGAAAGATGGTTCCTCATGGTCACATTGAACGTCCTTTACGAATTCCATACAAAGAAATAATGGAGAATTATAGGAAGGGATCTACTAATTCAGTTCAACCAGGTCCATTCTCTAGGAGGATCTTTCACTTTAAAAGGGAAAAAATTGCTGAACTCAAAGCAAAAGCTAACTCAGAGGTCGAGGATGTTGTCATCAGCAACAAAATCTCCTCCTTGCAAGCTGTGCTCGGCCATGTTTGGAGGTCTGCTATCAGAAATCAGAATCTTGACCCTGAAGAAGAAGTCACTTACGGATTCCTCATATCCGCTAGATCTAGAGTTTCACATCCACCAATACCAGACACCTATTTTGGAATCACAGTGCAGTTCATCACTTCCGTGACGATGAAAGTAAGGGACTTGGTGGGAGATGGAGGCCTTGGGAAGTTTACATTGGAAATGAACAAGGCAATCTCATCATGCACAGAAGAGAAGATCAAGAAGGACTTTGAAGCTTGGGTGCAAAATCCAACCATGCGCTCACAACGTGCGGTAAATGGGAGGTTTATGGCAACCAGTAGCTCGCCGAGAACCAACTTTTATGACATTGATTTCGGCTGGGGAAGGCCGGCGGCCGTTCGCGTCGGCCCCGCCAATACAAAGGTATGGAAACTAGCGGCGGATGCCGGAGCAGAAGAAGGTAGCTTCGACTTTGAGATGTGTGCTTCCTACGAAATACTAGAAGCCATGGCAAGGGACTCTGAGTTCATGTCCATGGTGTCGCCGCCGGCATCGATGGGGTTATCCAAACTGTGATAGAAGGAGAGCTTGATGTAATGTTTTCTTATCCCTTTCTTGGTACTGTTCGCAAAGAGTGGTCTAAGCTTCTTTATTTTACGCTGTTGCATTATCAATCGCATGAGATTTAGTGTGATGTGTATTTTGGTACTATGTTTATTTTTATTCCGTATTTATTAAAATAAAATTTATAAAAACTATATAAATTTCTAAAAAATTTGCTTGTCACTAATTTGGACAGTTTATATTTAATCTAGATTGTACACATTTAATATTAATTTTTTTATATTATTAAATTGAGGGTCCAGATTTACTGTATCTGGTCTACATGTAATATAAAAAAATCTCATAATTTTTGTAAATTTTAATTTTGGTAAATTCAATATAAAAATAATTTTCTACCTAGCATTTTCCAAAAAATAATTTTTAATAGAAAAATTTACCCTGATGAATATATACCGAATCATATTTGGATCTGGCGAATGGCCTGAGTTTACTTATTCAATTAGTTTCTTGTGTAGCATGATATCAATAATTTGAATTAGTCGCACAATTATAAGAGATTTTATCATCTAATACTCTAAAAATGTCAAAACTCAAATTTTTGGAGCAAGTATTAGCTTTGATCTTAAGAGTTGTTTTAAATTTTTGGAGAAAAATGCATCTTGAAATTTTTTTTTTGGTCAAGATATCTTGATAATTTAAGTATTGGTGAAATCCAATAGCTATATGTTTGGCTAAATATGAAACATCGCTTAAATAAGTTACAAGGCTAGTTGGCTAAGTAATTGAAGCATCAGGCCCAATATAAGCGAAAGGGGCAGGCCCCGAAACTCAATAAAGGTCACAAAAAGTAAACATGTCAAAGTCCCGTCAGCTGCAAATATTAAACTGTTGGCACGAAGACACGATCTTAAGTAATACCAAAATCTACACCCAAGTAGTTCAATGAAATGGGCTAGTTATCAAAATGGAGAGACCGTGCCATAAGTTTCACGAGATCCCTTATCCTTTGGCAGAACGTGCTAAGTTCAAGAAAAAGGCTTCCGCTATTCCGATACTATAAATAGAAGGACAAAATACAGAAGAAATTAGTTAACACTCCATCAAAGACTCACAAATTTTACATTCATTAGTCCTTTTCAGTTTTTTGTTTTTAGTTTGTAATCTTTTTACATTTCAATAAAAATCATACATTTGTTCTATCAAAGTCTTGTATCTTTTTACATCCAAGTGAATTGTGGTAAGGGAACTCGAGACCCTTTTCGTTATCTATTGAGACCTAGCATCTCTGGCACTGTTGGTATTTATTGTTCATCCACGAACACTATAAGTGAGACATTAATTGAATGAATAGATTTAGGTCACTCAACGAATTCAAATCTATACAGAATCCCATCCCATAGTTTTTGACTATGTTATATGTATCTGTTTCATTGTGCTTTGACAGAAAATTTGTCTTCATGTATTATATTACATAATATTAATTTATGTGTGAATTACTTAATGTTTTCAAAATTATATTATGCAGTCTTGAATATAATTCAAATATTATAGCATAAAGATTATGAGTAACTTGAGGTGAAATACAGAGGATCGAGGCTGGCTCCGAAATGTCTATTTTCATCAGAATTATCTTCAGGGTGTGGCGTTGAACAATTGCCTTAAAATATAAGGGATAAGATGATGAGATGGAGTCACCCGCCGACAGCAATGTAAAACCAACACCATTATTAATAATAATGATAAATGCCAACAATTCAAAGTGATGTTCACATGAGAGATCAAATAGTCTCATAGGCAGAAGGAAAGTGATGTGCACATAATCGTACGCTTACGGTTCGAAGACGTAATATAGCAATGCATCAAGTTCGTTCTCATAAAGAATCAATCAAATAAGATATCAGGGCAATATAGCTTTTATTTTATTTTATTTTATTTTGTTAGAGTTAAGCATGTCTAATTAAAGTGATGGAATGGACAAAATTTAATTACTAAAAAATTACACTTTCTTCACCAAGCAACATAAAAGAATAACTTTGAAGAGTTTTTAATCCCATACTTTTTCATTATTTTTGAAGCATTAATTTGACATCGTTTGAATTATTCAATATGAACAAGGTAATAAATTAAAGCATATCTCTAAGGTGAAAAAAAAAATAAAGTATATATCTTTGTAAATATTTTTGGTTGAGGGTCTTCTCTTCCTTGCTTGTCGGTTTGCGGGAGTTACTATTAATTTCTTTTGTGGTTATTATATTTTAGATGACAAAATATTATATTTTTGAGGGTCTTCGACTGGATGTAGGACAAGCCAAAAAGTATATTACCAAATGTTTCATGTAAAATAAGAATTTAGTCATTGTTTAAATTTTAATTTTTACAATTTAAAAATCCGGATTTTAAATTAATTTGCTTACATCGTCTTTGATTGCCATTCTCGTCTTTTTCCATTTTTTTTTATAATAAGGCAATTTAATTCAACAAGCTAAAAGGATATAAAACAACGACTTGGGCCTTGTATATGAGACAACGAATCCACAAGGTTTCAATCACAACAACTTGGAAACATAAAAGAGGCTCAAGAATACAACACATTTAAAAACACACCAACGAAAAAGAAAAGCAACGACAGAAAAGAAGAGCAGAGGCATACGTCCTTCGGTTCGTATTGTAAAAAGATATCTAACAACCTCAGCATAACTAAGAAGAGGTAGTTATATACTTAATTTTGTTTGAAAATAAATAAATTTTTAATTTTATCTCTATTAAAATGAAAAAAAATTAAATTAAATTACATTTTCTCTCATAGTTATTGAATTTTTTTGTTACATTCTTGGCCTGGAAGAATCACCAAGGCTGCATAATGGTGGAGTAGAAAACAAAAATAAATAGAGGATGGCCGATACACTATTAGAAAAATAAAATTTAGTGAGGAAAGAATTTCTCACTAAACATACACTACTCAAAAAATAAAATTTAGCGAGGAAAGAATCCCTCGCTAAATGTCATTTTTTCTCCCTAAATTATATTTTAGCAAGGAATTTTATTTCTCACTAAATTCATAGCTAAAAAAGGCTTGCTAAATTTAGTGAGAAATCATATCTCTCTTGCTAATTAGCCAGAAATTTAGTGAGGGATTGAATCCCTCGCTAAAATTAGCTAAGGGCTGATTCGCTCGCTAATCCTTTGCTAATACTATTCAAAATTTGATAATTTTAATGAGGAATTAGTCCCTCACTAAATATGCCTATATTTAAAAATAATGATGTCACATCACCTGTCATGTGTGCGTCAACTTATGATATGTCACCAACAACCTCATGCCTTGTCAACCGCCATGTCACCTACTATTTCATACCCCATCACCTGCCACATGTGCAACAATCATGATATATCATTGTCTGCCTTATACCTTTCAAACCTTATACTCTCATTCTTTGCCAATTAAACTGAAAGGCACCTATAATCATTATATTAAAAATTAAATATATATTATTTAACCACATAAATATATCAAATAATATATTATAAAAATATACACACATATACATATTAAATTTTATTTTCAATTATTAATATGTTAAAAATATTTAAATTATTCTTTATATTATATTTTTAATATAATATTATTTTATTAATGAAAATCAACTTAAAATAAAAATATTAAATAATTTTATTATGAATATTTTAGTTAATTTTTAAATTTAATTTTTTTAAATGAAAATAATTAAATATATGATTAAAAATCATTGTCAAAAGTTAAATTTTTTTAGTAGTAACTAGCTAGGGACAGAATCTCTCACTAATTATCTTATTTTAGAGAGAGATTGACAGTCTCTTGCTAATTTTCTTATTTTAAAGAGGAGTTGACAGTCCCTTACTATTTTTCTCACTAACTATCTTATTTTAGAAAAGAATTAGTAGTCCATCATTATTTTTCTCATTAATTCTTTTATTTTAAAAAAGGATTGACAGTCTTTTCACTATTTTTCTTGCCAATTTTAAATCAAACTATGAAATGAACATCTCTCATTAATTTTTTTGCTAATTTAATATTTTAAACAGGAATGGATGAATTTTTTTAGTAGTGATACTGTGAAGAACAAGAAACAAAAGAAGGCTAGCACACTAAGCCTAGGCCCAATATAACAAAACATCAACCCAATTCTTGCGGATTATGAATCTTGCATTTAGAGCGAATCCAAGCCCGGTTCAATGCCCCTCCCAATAAGCCGCAAGGTTTAACAAAGAAAAGTAAAATAGAACCCTCACCTACACGCAAGACCTAGACAGGAGCCCTGCTAACGCTGAGCGCATTGCTCTTCTTAATCGTTTTAATGCTTAAGGTAATTAGTAAAGAACAGACAGAGTACAAAGAATGCCTTCATGTATCACAACTAAAAAATAGTAACGTTTCGCCTTAATTCTTCCCCATACAGAAAAGTAAATGCAGCGGGTGTCATAAAAGACTAACCTCAATTTTTGATTTTATTATTGTTTATTCTGGAAATTAATTGTACAAAATGGATCTGCATTTTCCCTAACATTGAGCAGCACCAACAAGGAGACAGCGGTGGAGCTTTGGACGGCGGATGGCGGACTTCCAATGAGCAAGGATGAGCACAGATGGAACGGCGGGCTTCGAAAGAACAGAGTCAAATGGTAGATTTCAAACAAACAGCGGCGAACGGCTTAGTGAATGACTTCGAATGGCGGATCTGTGTAGTGATAGAAGGGTGACCTTCGAAGGACTGAGAAAGAAATGAAGAGCTGGAAAGGAGAGGCAAGTTGCTCGGTTGAAAAATGAAAAGTTGGGTATAAAATTAATTAGAAAAACACCACAGACACGTCACTTTACAAGCCAAGCGATGTGTATCATTTAGTTATTAAAGCAAAAATAAAAAAAATAAAATAAAATTGAACTAACGTCAAATTATAGAATAAGTGACGTGATATACTATATATTTTTGACCAAAAAAAATTAAAATAAAATGAGAAACCATGTCGCCCCAATT